ATTAGTCAATACAATATCTAAAATACACTGATTTATATATTAATAAATTACTTTCAATTTTAAAAAAATAAATGGGCGGTGGCTTTTGTAATCTTATAGTATTAATCGTATGTTTTTCATTACTAATTTATAAGGACTTATAATTGTAAGTTCAATTAATTTTTATTTATTTGTTTATAAAATAAACTAAAGTATTAGATTGAGTTATAAAAATCAAGTTTTCATTTTAAAAAGCCGTACCCCCTTCTTACTGAAGTTGGGAAAGCTGTTGTCTTATGTATTCGATCGAAGAAAGAGGCTTTCGAAAGAGAAAAGGGAAGGCAATCTCTTCCAGACGACGCATCAAACAGTCGGCAAAGACGCCTTAAAACAACACTGGAGGAAGTAGGAGAAGAAGCTAGTTGAAGAGTAAAAAATTTAACCACAGCCAATCTCCATAAACATAGAGGAATGCCTTTAAGGAGGAGGGGGTTCTTCCAGAATTAGATAGATCCATAACCGGACGTGTGACCTAGGCCTCGGCTTGAGAGGAAAGGCCTCGCCGATTGAGAGGAAAGTCAATCTAGTCCCCCCGAGGGGGATGAGTAGGGTATTGTCCACACATACAGTTTCCCGATAACCTTGCTATTCGAAAAATGGACTTTAATCCCGTGAAGTTTCAATGGGATTATATGAGTCCTTTCACAGAATCCATAGATTCTCTCCCTAAGAGCGGAGCCTGACCAGAGAGATAGATTTTGCTTACATTTATTAGTATATATGCGGCCATCCTACCATTATATCTTAGCTTGTAATGATATCAAGATTTTATCTTGATCTAACAATAATTATTCAAAAAAAAAAAAAAAAAACCTTAATAGTCGTAAATAAAATAATTTAAATTAGGAGACTCAATTAGAATTAATCTTATTTTAAAGGATATTTGAAAATTATTACCTAAAATTCTTGCATTATATACTAATATTTTCACATAAAGATTCTGAGTTCTCCTTCTTATTCTTATTATCATTTTTACCACTAAGATTTGATAATAAAATCTTCGAGGAAACCAAAATAAAAGAACCAAAAGGAACGGATGAAATCTTAAAAGAAAGATTGAAAAAGTTCATAGTAAAACCTCGCAACATTTAAAGTTAAAAAATTATTTGAAAATCAAAAATACATTTGTTATATTCAACACACTAAGTACAGACTGGTGATTGCATCAAAAGCTCTTAATTTTATTATCATTAATTTCCAAGTTTTTATTAAATATCATATAATAAAATCAATTAATATTTCAGGATATTTTAATTGAATATGATTTTTGTTAGAAAAAAAAAAAAAAAAAGAAAAATTAAAGACTCGATCCTTAGATTTAATGTAATAACAAAAATCCCTGAAGTTTCCAAAACATAATACAAATCCTTACTATTCTTGAAATGTATAACTTATATTATTATATTTGAAATTGTCTTTCAATTGTTTATTTAAACAACTTAAATTAATGGGACAAATTTCTATTATTTCATAATTTTAGAGGAAGTTTATTATTGATTTTTGTTTAACTAAAAAATATTAATCTTATTATTTTCACAAAGGTCGGCGTTATTCATTTTTTTTTTTTTTTTTTTTTTTGATAAAAGAATTAAAACAAAAAGAACTCAAAATCCTTTCATTTGCTTTATATTTATCTGTAAATCTGAGTCTCTCTTTTGAAAACAACCACATATCATCTCAAAAGAAGGAAACTGCTACGGCGACGTTTTGACAGCAGTAAAGCGCAACTCCCACGCGCACGCACTCACTCCCTTCCCTCTAAATCGGCCACCCACTTACGACTGTCGGCTTCAGTGTCAAGAAGCGCGTCGACCAAACGTTTCTTCCAGGTTTCTCATCATGGTGTAAAGGTGACCACTGTCAGGCTCGCTCAGCGTAGTCATCTCCGTTGTCAATAGAAAAAAAAAAGACCAGACGACAACGTTTCAACCCCACTCAAACATCCAAAACGACGTGGTCTTTATTCCTTGTACTGTTAAGTGTAAACAATAACACCGCCTTCTTCTCTACGCAGAAAAAGCTAGTGTTCGTGCTTCCTTTTCGCGTTTTTCTAAGTGTGTATGTTGTTTCGACATTTTCACAAACCTCTCATTTCCGAGGACTAATCATTCACATGTTTTCTTGCCTCTTCTAGGGTTTATTATTTTCCTTAGCTTTCTCTCAAACCAAACAACAACTAAAAAATAAATTATAACAAAAAGTAAAATAAATAATAAAAATTGAATCTGTACTCACTTAACTGTCTCTTCTCCAGTTTCAACTTCGAAATCGGAGCGAGATCCTTGTTATTCTCATGCTACTTTTTGTTTGAGATGATCGAGGTTTTGTTGTAATGTTCGTTGAGGTTTCTAACAATCAAGGGCCGAAATCGACGTCGTTTCGAAAATGCATTTCACTAAGCTCGATGATTCTCCTATGTTTCGCAAGCAGGTTAGTCTTAATGTACTCTCGTTATGGAGCTTAAGCATTAATTTGGAAAAGTTGCCTTTTTTGTACCGATTTGAAATCTGCGATTTTACTTGCTTCAGTATCAGTGTATCTATAAGTGCTTTAATTGAGAGAATTTAGGGTTGATAACTGGAAATTTTAAAATCAAGCCATTGAATTAAACCGTACTGTAATAACTTTTTGAATAGTTAATATAAGCATTTATTTCTTCATAAATAAAGATTTTGAAGTATTTTCATGTCTAATTTAGTAGTTGCATTTTACTTGCCAAACTGGGTTTTGTCTGAGGATTATAATCTACTTTTCTTATATAGGATCTGATAGTGAATGATTACTTATCACGAGCTTCAATTTTCATACAATGTGTAATCTTGATAATTTTGCTTTGTTTGTAACAAGAAATAATTACGATATCTTAGATAATTATATTATATCACTTTTATGAGATTGAGACGAGAACTTCAGGCTTTTGTGCCATCTTGCGTTTAAATACATGGGTATTTATGCGATTAATTTTCCTGCTAGTTATTTTTTTCAAGTGTTTCCTTCCATCCTTTATTACTATGCATTTCCATATGTGAATGTTGTTTATACTGGAATGATCTTTTTTGTGTAGAACGGTAGTTATGTTTGTTTTAATATTGATATTGAGGAAATTGTGAAGGTTGAACTAGGTTCTGTCCTTACTCATAAAAGATGTGATTTATTTTTTTATTTGAATATGTGCTGAAGTAAAATTGGTTATGAACCATTTCTTCGTTGAAACAGATACAAGGCTGGGAAAGTGCTGAACATAAGGGAGGAGGTTTAAGATTTTACAAAGGATGTGTCGAAAATACACGTATGTTACCTTCTTGAATGCATTTCTATTTTTTCATAAGAAAAAAAAAATACGAAATTGCATCATCCAGTTGTTCACTGTGCATTACTTTTCTGTGATACAACATGAATTATTAATATCTACTTTGTAATTATTCTTTGAAGAAAATTGTTAACCATACGAAAACACTAGGTGTGGTGTCTTTAGCAAGTGAGGTTTCATGGTAGCATGCATGTCAACTGCTTGGAGCCTAAGTTTCCCCCCACTACACCTTCCTTTGATTTTTCAAAGATAAAGGAAAGAGAGTAGTGGGGCTCTCATATTGTTCTTTTAGTAGGATACTTCAAATTTTGCAATACATCCTATCGATGCTTCTACCAGTAGTTGCTTGTCTTCTCTTCTTTTTGTTATTCACTGTGCTTTCTTTATTTTGTAATTATTATTATATTATTCTTTCTGCACTTTTCTTCTGTGTGGTTGATTTCTCTGTTCCTATATTGTAGTCAATCTTTGCTGTTTATGATCCTTGAGTTTGTGACAAAATTCATTTGCATTTATTTTCTCTCTGCAGAGGGTCTTGGCGAAGGATATGATGGGACATTGCTTTTGCGAGTGCCCTAGAATCTTTTGGTGGAGGGCATAATGAACTATTAGGGTTGCGTTTGGAGGTGTGCTTTGTCCAAGTTCTTTAGCAAGCTGTTTATTAGTTATGACTTGAGATATATATTCTCCTTCTGGATATTGGATTGTCATTAATGCTTCCTTTTTTGTTGCTCAATGATTTAAATACTGTCGATTGAAATTCGCATGCTCTCGATAACCTTGAGAGTAGGATGTTTGGTGGTGTTGATGAACTTTTGTTTTGTTATATAGGTCCTGTTTGACGAAATTTACCATTGCTCTGAGAGAAATTGGGACGTACAAGGAAGTTCTTCGATCCAGGTTAAATCTTTTAATGCATTTCCTAATGTGTTGCCAATTGGGTCTTTCTTCAATCAACTAAATGGGTTTTTTGTTTGACCACTTGATTTATTTTTCTCAGGTTGAGGCACAGCTAATGGACCGATTGTTACAATTTGTCAATATTGATTTACATGAGGTCAAGGTACTGTAGATTGCTGATTTTTACTGCGTTTAAAATTTTAATATATATTTTAAAATCCTGCATGTTTAATCAGGTGTAAGATTATGTAGGAACAAGAGCACAAACAGTTTGAGTTCTTACAACTTTTAGAGTTAAACGGTCTTGTTGTGTGTGTGTGTGTGTGTGTGTGCACATGTGAATAGTGGGTTTCTGATCTCCCACCAGCTGGGTTGAATAGATTTTCTATTCCCTGAGAACATTGTTTAATATGAAGCCAACTAGAATCTCATTAGCTTTTATAAACTCTTATATTGATAATTTCATACACAAGCTTCATGTAATTGCATTTTGCTGACTTCGTGAAGGGTTTCTATTTTTAACTTCTAGCATAGGGCATTTATTTTTCAACTACTTTAATCTGTCTTGTCAGTGTGAGATATTGTTGAGTTCGTGCTTGCATGATTTTAACGTTAATTGCTGCAGATTTGTCTTTCTTTTGCCAGTTTTTTTCTTTGAAGTTAATATGACAGTGGATGGTTCATGTGTCTCTGCATTCAAATTTCTGTATTTCTGTTCTTTGATTTGTGAATCTAAAAGATCTTAGCTCAGTACAGGAAGCGAGGAAGCGTTTTGACAAGGCTAGTCTTCTGTATGACCAGGTGAATTCTCCATGACATCTTAATTGTTTTTCTTACTGATGTTGATCTCTTATGCATGCATTTAAAAAAACCTTCACATTTTTATGTATGTTTTTTATAATTTACTCAAAACAGGTTTCTGCTTGGTATTCTTCTTTCACTGTTTTGAATTTGTTGAAGTCAAGTATGAGTTTGAGTGACATTTATTCTTACATGAATAAGTTATTTATAGTCTTTCCATTATATTTGGAGTTGGAAGTAATGTATCAGAGTCTAAATAGACTATCTAGTTGTCATTGTTTGGCTTGTTTAGGAGGTTAATTTCATGCTCGGTGAGAAACTAAGCTGAGTCTTCCTCTCAAAACCTAGTGACAACTATGAGAAACCTGAATGTTGTTTTTCATTTCTATTTATTGATTTTCAAATTCTCTGCAGTTTTCCTTATAATCTTAGTGCTGATGAATGAATTAAGAATTGCATGCAATAGTGATGTAGCAATGAAGTTGTACGCTTATTTTGTTAATGATTTGACTGGGTTTTGGATGTCTTGCTCCTATGTTTGGATGAACTTGATAGTTAACATTGTTTATGTAATAAATGTTGCTTGAATTAACTTTAAGTTAATGTTTTGAATCATTGTGAACTTAGTTTCGGAGTTGTGTTCTCTTATATTTATTTAGTCTTAATTTTTATTCATGCTGCAGGCTCGTGAAAAGTTTTTGTCACTGAGAAAAGGAACAAAAACTGATGTAGCTGCTGTTTTAGAGGAGGTATTATGCAATATGAATGCTGAGACACAAGTTTTTGCTCATTCCTGTTCTATTCTTGTCATAGTATTGGGACCGCCATCTTTATAATTCTAATTTCCGTTGGAGTTTTTTAGGAGCTTTATCATGCAAGGACTACATTTGAGCAAGCTCGATTTAGCCTAGTAAGTCGATTTCTTGCTGTTAATATAATTAACATTAAATTTCAGATTCTGTTATTATTACTGTAATTGTCACTTTATGGTTTTAATAATCATGGTCACTGTCATACCCAGGTAACTGCCCTTTCTAATGTTGAAGCAAAGAAGAGGTTTGAATTTCTGGAAGCAGTCAGTGGAACAATGGATGCGCATCTTCGTTACTTCAAACAGGTATGTCATGTGATTTATCTATTCTCCTTGATGGTTATCTATTCTCTTTGAATGCTTTTGTTTTAGGATGGCTTTTCTGAATCTTTTTCAAATTTCATGTAGGGTTATGAGTTATTGCATCAGATGGAGCCATATATAAATCAGGTTTGTATTCCGTAGACGTAGTGGGTGTTTATTTTATTTTGATATTACCCAGGTTGTAAAATTTATTAGGGGATGAGGTCATAAATTTGGTCTTGCTTGGATGTGTGAGTTTATTTGCAGAGGCAAAGGGAAGAATAAACGATTGAGTTTGTTTGAATATCTGATAAAGTAGAATAGCTATCCATATAGTGGGGATAGGGCTTACTTAGTCAAGCTGAAGAGTTGGGGATCTGTACATTTCTGATATTACTATTATTTGCATGTCATGGGAATTCTTGAAATAACGGGCCTATCGTTGGCTTGCAGGTGTTGACTTATGCCCAGCAGTCAAGAGAAAGGTCCAATTATGAGCAGGCAGCTCTTAATGAAAGGATGCAAGAGTTCAAAAGGCAGATTGACCGAGAGAGTAGGTTGTCTTCCAATGTTTCTAATGGATCTCCTAATGGAGATGGTATACAAGCCATTGGTAGAAGTTCACATAAAATGATAGAGGCAGTTATGCAATCTGCTGCGAAGGGAAAGGTTTTAACGATGCTTTTTACTTTTTTACTCTACTATTGAGATGTTTCTTTGTCTTCCTAATTGTCTTTCTGCTTTTCAAAATGTACGTAATCTTGCAGGTTCAAACTATCCGACAAGGTTATCTCTCAAAGCGGTCCTCAAACTTGAGGGGAGATTGGAAAAGAAGATTTTTTGTTCTTGATAGCCGAGGAATGCTGTATTACTATCGTAAGCAGTGCACCAAATCATCTGTAAGTAATTTATTTGTAAAATTAGTTAAGACTTAAGAGATTTTGAAGTTCACCACATGCTTTTTTTCTATCTTCTGCCTTTTTAGGGTTCTGGCAGTCAACTTTCTGGTCAGAGGAATAGTTCTGAGCTTGGATCTGGATTGCTGAGTCGATGGCTTTCTTCTCATTATCATGGAGGAGTACATGATGAAAAATCTGTTGCTCATCACACAGTGAATCTTCTTACCTCAACAATCAAAGTTGATGCTGATCAATCAGATCTTAGGTTCTGTTTCAGGATCATTTCACCAACCAAGAACTACACTTTGCAGGTATAACTTGAGATGCAGCTCACTTATGTGAGTTTGAGTTCCTACACAATTCTGCCAAAACTGGTGGGATGGTGTAGGACTAACTTATTGGTTGGCAATAGGTCCTCAATAATGTTTATTTGTGCTTGTCAGTGCAGGCAGAGAGTGCACTGGATCAGATGGACTGGATTGAGAAGATTACTGGGGTTATTGCTTCATTACTTAGTTCTCAGACTCCTGAGAGGGTAATTATTAAGAAGTTTAGCTTGATTGGTGGCCATTGTTTTTCAAAATCAATCTGATGATTGTAGTTTAATATGTCAGTGTCTGCCTACTAGTCCCATGGGAAGTGGCCATCACCGGTCTGGCAGTGAGAGTAGTTCATTTGAAAGTTCTGACTTTGATCATGCTGCTGTTGAAGAATATACATCTGAGAGGAACCTTGCAATTTCACATCATGAACGACATTCAAGGGGTTCACTACATCAGCGAGCTTCTGTAAAGAGTGAGAAGCCAATTGATGTGTTGCGAAGAGTTTGTGGAAATGATAAATGTGCTGATTGTGGTGCCTCTGAACCTGATTGGGCATCTTTGAATCTTGGTGTTCTTGTTTGTATTGAATGCTCTGGTGTTCACCGAAATCTTGGTGTACACATATCAAAGGTGAAATCTATTCTATTGCCTGACCTTTTTCTATGTTTCCGATGAGATAATGCTTGTGTTTTTCTTTTCAAACACAGCCTGCTGTATTAACCATTATTGTTTTTTCTGTTGAAGAATATATAAATGTTCAATGGTTTAAATAGCCATAAAATTGCATAAATGATTGAAGGTGCTGATCAATATCAGTTTTATTATAAGTAAATTTGATTGTAGAGAGAGTACTAAGGCTGTTGTTTTGTGGAAGTGAGTTATTAATTCCTTTGATTGGCTGTACTTAAATGTGCTTGAAAGATATTAATATTGCTTCCACATCCATGAAGCGTTGCCTTAGCATTTGGCCTATGTTGCAGGTCAGATCACTTACCCTTGATGTGAAAGTGTGGGAGCCATCAGTTATAAGTTTATTTCAGTCTCTGGGCAATGCCTTTGCAAACTCAGTCTGGGAGGAATTATTGCAATCAAGAAATGCATTCCATGTTGATCTTAATCCCGCAAGGTAATGAATCCTCTTAATGGTTGAAATTAGATTATTTTCATCCACTGCAATCTTAAGTTGGTATTTTTGCTGGTGGTTACTAACATGTACCTTCTTGTTGCTGAAGCTCATACAAGTCTGATAAACCGCAATTACTTCTTTCGGGCAAACCTAGTCCCTCTGATTCTATATCAGTGAAGGAGAAGTTCATTCATGCAAAGGTGTAACAGATTTAACATCTACTTTGGTCTCTGTAGTTAAATTGTTTCCATGCATTATTTGCATATAGAGAACCTAAAAAAATGCATCATCTGCTCTTGTTTATGTTTTTCTGCTGATGCATTTTTTGAATTATTTGTCGACTGAATGGTGTAACAGATTAACATCTACTTTGGTCTTTATAATTTAATTGTTTCCACGCATATTTTTATAGATAACCTAAAAAATATTCATCATCTGTTGTTTTTTATGTTCTTTACTCACATTTTGCATTGTTGTTGACCAACACAATCTTTTTGCTTTATGGTTGACATGTATTGTCTGTGCTTCGCAATATTGCTTTTCGCTTTAGTGTCACTCTTCAGTCAAGAATATAATTAATACTTTGATTTGCACTTAGTTTTTCGTGTGACGTTGAGGATTTGCTAGACATCTCATTGGTACTTGAAAAATAGTTCCTCTGTAATACAAGCAACATTTTGTCATAATAGGTTTAATTACCTCTTTAGAAATTGAAGAATGGTTTTATACTGAAATTCCATTTCTGCTTCTGGGAAATAATCATGATGCTCTATTTGTTGCTTCTGAGAAATAATTGTTTTGTCATACTGGTCCTGCTCGTAGATGGTGTGCTCAGGCAGAAAATAATCTCTCTTTGGTGCTAAATGATGGTTCAGTGGATTTAATTGAAGCCTAAATTATTTATGGACAAAAATACGTTCATCTTTGGCTGCTCAAATTATACTTAATACCATGCATCATAGGAAAAGTATATAATAAGTTGCGTGGTTTCCTGGGTGATAAAAGGAAACTGAAGTCTGGTAACCCAATATTTTAAACATAAATTCTATAAATTTTTTTTTTTTTTTTTTTTTTTTTTAATCACTGATAAACAGGCATCAGAATTGCATTTGTAGTAGTTGAACATCCTAATTTCACAGGTCTCAGAGTTGCATTTGTAGTAGTTGAATATCCTAGGTTCTATTAGTAATTGATCTTTTAAGACATGCAACCTGCTAATTGTTGAAGTTTTGAAATTCTTCTTTTGTTTGCAGTATGCAGAAAAGCTTTTCGTTCGCAAACCAAAAGACAATCACTATTCCCATGCTATGGCACAACAGATCTGGGAGGGTGTTCGTGCTAATGATAAGAAAGCTGTATACCGTAACATAGTTAATAGTGAAGCAGATGTGAATGCTGTGTATGAGCAAGCATCAAGCAATCCTTCCTTAACACTTGCCAAAGCAATGCTACTGAACGAGCAGACAAGCCTTGAACACAGCTCCAGATGCTTAACAGGGAATTCATCGGACAGATCTTCCTCTGGCTCATCGAACTTGGCCAGTACTAATGAAGGCCAAACCATTGATGATCTAGATGGTTGCACCCTGCTCCATCTAGCTTGTGAAACTGCAGACATTGGCATGCTAGAACTCCTATTACAGTATGGTGCAAATATCAATGCTACTGATTCAAGAGGTCAAATGCCACTGCACCGCTGTATACTCCGAGGCAGACCCCAATTTGCTAAACTGCTTCTTATGAGGTAAACTTCAGAATCTTTGTTGAATAATTGTTTTATTTGTTTCAGCAGTTTTGGATTGTCATAATCTCAGTATTTTATTATCTCAATAGTAAATTTACCTGGTGATAATCACTGAGGTAAGGGTGTCTGGATGATATTTACCCATTAATTTAAGGTCATATTCTGTCGATGTTGATTCGTGGACCTCTTAGAATGATGATGAAAGTTTTTATTTTGCAGAGGTGCTGATCCACGGGCTGTAAATGGGGAAGGTAAAAATCCACTTGAACTGGCTGTAGAGTCGAACTTCAGTGACGGCGATGTGCTTGCAATATTATCGGATTGGAATGAGTAAAATTTGCTGTCTAAAAAATTAAAGGAATTGGTTTTTGTATAGTTCATATTTGATGGAAGAATTTGAGATATTTAGTTTTGGGTTAGAGGAGATGTGTGGAAGGTTGTTCTAAGAGAGAATGGAGTGAAAATGTGAGTGGTAGGTTGGCATGGCTGCCCCCTCATGGGCATGAGTGCAAATTTGATCACTCAAGTAATTTGCAATTTAAAAATTGGCCTCATTTATGAGTTGAGAGGTGCTGTATTAACTGTTTATGTGTTTTTATTTAATCAGTTTGATTCTTCCTTTTTTTTAATTGGTGGAGATGTGAGGGTGTAGGTTAGGGCATTGTGTTTGTGTATTGTTGTACATTGGCTATTTTAGTAAATTGTATTTGTGCCTGTAAACTTTTTTTTTTTTTCTTTTTTGGGCTGAGTCTGCATTACATGAAGAAAAATTAGAGTGATACGACGTATACTGAGGTCAGTAGCACATTAGTCATGTGAAGTATAACATACAATAATGTTAGATGAATAAATAAAACTTACAAAGATTTCTGTACAAACTAATGTACAAAGATTACTCATATAACATATCACTTTATAAAATTTTACGATTAATGAAGTTTTGACGTCTCAATAATCATCAGATTAGATTTAAAGGTGGGATCTTAACTTTTTATAAATAGTTTTACTGAAAATATTATTAGGTAAAAAAGAATTAATTTTGAAAATTGTTGTTCTGGCGGTTGTTACAACTTTGAATTTTGGTTCATACTCTATAGGGGTGTTTAAAAAAACTGGTATCCAAACTGAAACCGAATTGGAAAGACTGAGTACCTGATAATTTGGTTTGGTTTCGAGTTATTGTAAGAAGAAACCTGGATTTTTGGTTTGGGTACCAATGTAACAGTGCAAAAAACCAATTGCTCGAATCGAAGCGGTTTTCTGCCAAAAATTAAAATTGATATCAATTTTGTTTTTCTATTGAATTAGTTTACTAAACCTAACCTAGTTCTCGACTTCTCTAAGTTCTCTTCTTAAATGTTGACATTTGGAATATGAATGCACGCCATATTTAGCGGACTTGGTGTATTTGTTTTGGTTTGATTATGGACTAATTAGCTAGATTTATACTGTTACCTTTTATACTCTTATTTGTATTTATTTCTTTTTATTTGCTTTCCTTACATGTTACATTTACACTTGCATAAATTGTGATACATTGTACATGGAATACACATTCAGCAATACATAATTCTTCTTCCTATTGTCTTGTTCTCATTCTGTTCTCTCGGCAATCTCAGCAACTAAGTTGCTTTTCTTGCCTTTCCATATTTTCCCTTGGCATACTTCGATAGTCTTCTGCCTCTTCTTGCCACTCAAATTCCAGGTTCTTACATGGTATCATAGTAGGTTTCCTAGCCAGATCCTATACTTGTCACTCAATCTCACTAATCCAACTCTTGTCTTCTGTTATTGGTTTCCTTGCAAAATAGATTCTAGGATTAGTTCCTCTCACAAAAAACCCAAATGAATCCAAACCAAAACTAGAAAAATACATCAAACCCAATCTGGCCCAACACACCAAACATGGGCTCAGATTCAACAAATAGCCAAACCGGCCAAACATGCATACCAGTCAAATAGGCCTAGATATGGAAACCAATCAAGATGGCCCAATTGGCCCAAATACTCAAGCCAACCAAAATACCCAAACACCCAAACTGGGCCTAACCCAAGCACATTTCCATTTGAGTTTTCGAGTCAAACCGGCCCAAACCCATACCTTTTCCAATTCCAGCTTGTGCAACCCCATCACCGTTGGCCCGAGCTTGGCTATCCTCTCTACACCTCACCGTTAGATGGCCTAGAGCTCGTTCTGGTAAAGCAAGTTCTCATTGTCGCCAAGAACTATGCAACGTGGGCTTGCGACTTTCGGTGAGATCTCATCACCAAAGATAAAGACGGCTACATCGATGGCTCTGTAACACCGTCGGTTGAGCCTCATCTCCAGAAACATTGGACCAGATGCAACATGCTGGTCCGTTCATGGATCAGCAACTCCATGACCTAACAGGTTGCTGCTGGCCTACCACCAACCGAAATCGCTAAGGAACTCTGGCGATTCATCAAGGAGATGTATGGACAGTTGGATCTGGCCACACTGTTCACACTTCGGCAAAGCCTCACCAAGATCAAGTAGCAAAAGCAGACCGTCACGGTCTATTACAATCGGCTCTTAGTAGTTTGGAATGAATTCGACACCATCGTCGAGCCTCTACAGGGACCACCAGAAACATTACAGCAATTCCACCAACTCCATGGATTAAACGACAATTTTCTACCCTTTCGCACATATATGTTGGACAAAACAACAACGATGTCGCTTTCGCCATCTATACCAACTGGTTGTCTAAGACAAAAGCCAACGTCTGGCCTCCATGGACTCACCACGATTGGGTAAGTCTGTGGCCTTTGCTACCGAGAAAGGAGAAAAGAAAAATGGGGAAGGGCTGCAACTAGGGTTCTTGCAAGAGAAAGGGAAAGACAACCTTTTATATCAAGGGATGAATGGCTAGGATCATTCCAAGCAATCCAATGGCCAGCAAGCAGTCAACCAAGTCAGCGGTCAACCTGGTCAATAAACTTAAAATTCATCCAATGGTCCACAATATGGAAACTTTCACAATGGATCCAACGGCCCAGGATCATCCCGATCAGGTAATAAAAGGTATTATGGTTACTATAAACAAATAAATCATAATAGGGGCACATGCTGGAAATTACATGGTCGTCCTAAAGAACGACATAATCCAACAACAAATAGTGTGAACATATCGAGATCTGAAGCTCCCCCACCCTTAATCAAACCTAAACAAATCACTCAGCTCATCCAGATGTTGAATCAGCTTCCAACAAACAACGCTTCCGCTAGTTATGCAGGTACCTCTTTTTGTTTCAGTAATTCAATTTCCCGTGATTTATGGATTATTGACTCAGGGGCTAGTGATCACATATTTTGCGATCCTAAATATTTTCAGCTACACACAAAAACCAACTCACAATTATCCGTTAAGATGCCCAATGGTAACATTGCTTCCACAACTCATACAGGAACAGTCAAACTTACTGATAGCATAATTCTTAGAAATGTCCTTTTTGTCCCTACATTCAATTTTAACCTTATATCTGTGTCAAAATTTTGCATTGATAACACCTGCACATTATAGTTCTTTCCTAATCTATGAACCTTTCAAAACCCTTCAACTGGCAAACAGATGTGCTTGGGTAAGGCCCATCATGGCCTATACTATTGAGAGCCCTTTCAATTTTTCCTAGCAATAAAGACAATTATTGTAATGCGAATATTAGTAATAATTCTATTGTTTTTCATCAAAGATTGGGTCACAATGTCTTTATCCCTTAGTTAAATTGTCCAATATGTCCTATTGCCAAATAACCAAGAATACGTTTTCCCATCAACACATCCTCCACTCAAAGACCTTTTGCTTTAATCCATCTTGATATCTGGGGCCCATATTCTGTTTACAATCACAATGGATCCCCTTTTTTCCTTACATAAGTGGGTGATTTTTCCTGTGGGACTTGGATCTTCCTCATGCAAAATAAAGCCCAAGCCTTTCCTCACATCCTAAACCCCCTTTCCATGGTCCAAACACAATTCAACACATATGTTCAAAGGGTTAGAACTGACAATGCTTTAGATTTCTTCAACAAACAATGTTCTTCCTTGTTCCTTTCCCATGGAATCCTCTAAGAAAGTTCATGCACTTATACCTCTCAACAAAATGGGATTGTTGAACGGAAAAACCGTTACCTTCTAGAAGTAGCCCTAGCCCTCAAACACCAAGCCCACATCCTAGTTCTTTTTTGGGGCGAATGTGTGATCACTGCCACCTATCTCATTAATCGCATGCCTACACAGGTTATTAGAGGTAAAACTTTGTTTGAATTACTGTTTGGAAAGAAACCTGATAACACTCACTTACGAGTTTTTGGTTGTTTGTGTTACTCCACTATTATGGGTCCCCGTGACAAGTTTGCTCCCCATGCTAGAAAGTGTGTTTTTATGGGGTATCCTATGCTCCATAAAGGGTATCGCCTTTATGATCCCCAACTTAACAAATTTTTTGTTAGTAGAGATGTTATTTTCCATGAGGGAATTTTTCCCTTTTCCGACAGTAAGGCTACACCTCTGATAATCCGAGGATTATGCTAGTTTATTTAATCTTTTAGGCCGGATTTTAGATACTTCTTAGTCTATTTTTGCCTGAATTGCTACTTAATTCCTTACAATTCGTGTTTCAGGTTAAAATGGAAATTTTGAGAGAATAAAGGCAGATTTGGAGTTTTTGGACTCTGAAGCAAGCGGAGGGCAATTCTGGAATTTCAGAATTCTTCGCGGCAGGTGAAATGGGCCAGTGACGCACCAGATTCAGCTCCTTCTTCGCCGCGGCGAAGTCTGCGTACTCCACTTTTTGTAAAATGCACAGTTTCGTTTTTAGGCTAAGTTGTAAGATTTTGGGCGAGGTATAAAAGAGATACTTAGTCTTTTTGTTTAGGGCTTTCATGGAGAGATAGACAACAGTTTTACATTTTCTTAGATTCAAGTTTTTGAGTGATTTTGGATTAAACAAAGTGTGAAGATTTGAGGTGAAACCAGTGGATTCATCAATTGGGGAGATTCTTTTACTTTTCTTTTGTTTCCATGATGTTGAACTTGGAGTTTTCCGTTTCTTTTAATTGTTTTATTGATTTAGCCATGAACTAACCTATTTTGGGTTAGGGTTTTGATGTAGTTCAGATTCTAAAGGGTTAGAGAGTTGATGATTATTAATTTCATATGATTTTGCTTTGATTTGTGATTATTCTGTATTTATTATTTTTATGTGATGAACATGATGAGATTGAGAGATAATTCATATTAAGCTTCTTGGGTAATCACTATTGTATTATTGGATGCTAGAGATAGATTCAAGAACCAATGAAATCAATCTAGGATTCTTGTGCTTAATGAGCTTAGATTTATTAACTTTCAATTTGTTGGGTGCGGAAGGTTAATAGGGAAGAGTAGGAAAACATAGCCTAAGAAGGTATGTTGGACACCTTAGAGAGTTCGATTTACAATCAATGCATGTGACTATGATTTTAGTTTAATTCTTTAGGTTTAACCCATAGAGTCCGAATGAAGTCAAAACCCTACCCGTTTGTTTGAATTGATTTTATCCCGTTTTAAATCTTGCTTTCATAGTTTAATTTTATTTTAGTAAAATTTTGTTTTA